GCTCATGGTTTGCTTTAGGACAAAATTCTGGAAAACAAAATTATGTAAGAAAAAAAGCATCATTCCTTTAATCTTCTTTAACAAATGTTCCTGGACTCGCAGTAACACTTGATCTGCACTTATGTCCATGTATATTTTTGGTCACAATTATAGAAACATTAGAGCAAACGTTATAATGTACTTTCCGTTCGATGACACTACAGATAGACTCTCAGAAAAAAAAATTCCCAAGCTGTCACTAGGGCGGTACCCCTTCAAAAGGTACTAATATATAACATATAGGTACTAATATTAGTACCATTAATATGCACCCTTAAAGGTACAAAAAAGGTTGTGAAAAAAGGTTGACAGGTTGTGTACCTTTTTTTTCCTGAGATGTTTGCAGAAATGGAGGGATGGTTTATCTGAGAGATAAGAAAGACAAAAACAGCATCTCTGCTGACAGCAGTCTGCCTACCTGGTATGATGTGAAATGAGGATGATTGTGGAGAGGGAGCCCTCCACTGGTGTTAAGAGAAAAGTGCTTCAACACCTGCAGGAGTCAAGACCAGTGCCTGAAGCAAATCAGAGAGCGAGACGATTCCCATCACCACATCCTCTGTGTCCACCAGTACTAGACGGTGAACCTGACAGAAACAGCATAAGGACCTATGGTCAGAGTGGACGGTGTTTTTCAAATGATGCCAATGAAAACAAGCCATCAATTCTTGAAGGCTATAATATAGAAACTAACTATTTGTTCTACTACCTCAGCCTCAGCGATCCGATCAATGATGGTTTCGAGGGTCTCGTGAGGGTAACACTTCAGCACCCCCTCAATGCAGCACCAGCGGCTCTGAATGACCTCCTGCATCGTCATGTTCAGGTTGTTGTAGCTTTTCTGTGCAGCCAAATTCTGTTCATGTAAATGCAGATGATACCAACTTTAAGCTTTGCTTGGTACATATGAAATCATTTGCTGTAAATCATGCAAAAAAGAGGTGAGGATGTGAGTCTACATACAATGACATCAAATCTGGAGTAAAGTGCTACCACTTTTCCTAAAGAGAAAGAAAAATGTCAGAAACCACATAGAAGACCTTCAGAAGTTGAAGATATGTATTAAGAAAGCAGAAAAACAAAAGCAAACAGCTGTACACAGTACCTTGCTCATTGACGACGGGCAGGGCTGAGACCCGTCGCTCTACAAATATTGATAAAGCATCATAAACGGTTTCTGTCTCCCTGATAGTTGCAATGTTCTTGAATGTTCCTATTTTCACTTCTTCAATCCGCTTCTGTAAGAATCGTGGCTTTGGGATCATCGAGCCCTGAGATTCATAAAGCAAATTCTCATCATTCAGTACAGAGCTATGGGGACAGTCAACATAAGCATTTCATGGCAACAATCTCATGGCAAATCATACATGTTTTGTCAAATTGATGTCTAATTAATTTCAAATCATACAATCTCATTTGTATGCTTTCATACAATCTGTTTATGCCCCACCGGTGTTTTGGTTTGAGATGCGGTTCAGGTTGACCCTCATGCTTCATGTTTTTTTCTACAAATCATACTTTTCCGTATGAATAACGTGGTACGAATGATGTGGCTCGCCACTTTGTGAAATGGCTACGTTTTTCATGAGATCGAGTTGACTGCACTTAGTTGTTATGTTTTGCTAGCCAATATGACAGTTGTTTTAAAAGTATACTGAATATGCAGCATTACACAAATTGCAGACAGCTATTAACTTAAGCTAATAACAAAGTCATCTCATGTCATCTTAATACACTGCTCAAAAACTTAAAGGGACACTTTTAAAACACATCAGATCTCAATGGGGAAAAATATTATGCTGGATATCTATACTGATATGGACTGGGTAATGTGTTAGGAA